CCCCCCCCCCGGAGATTCAGGCTACACGCATCATTCTGCGAGACTTGTATGAACTGCTTTGTGATCTCCGGTGCCCTCTAGAATAAAAGCGTTCCTCTGCAAGCAAAACTCTTGTATTGCTTCGTCGTTGTGTTGACTGTCATCTATTTCTACATCCTGCAACTGTGAGTTATCACCAATGCACACTTCCTTAGACAATCCCCTATTGTGGTGAATTTATTCATTGTATTTTTTTTGTGCTTTGTTTCTTGTAATTATTTTGAGAGATATCAAAGCCAGAAGCTTTAACTTGATATTTTAGTGTATTTCATTTCCGGTACTATTGTCTTGTCTACCCCCATTCTAGAAGTAGAAGAACCCCCTCTCAATAGCAATAAGCAGGCCTTACACTGTGACATAGATGTTTTTGGTTGCTGTAAGTTTAGCTTCAACTCTGGTGATTGTAGTATACTGGATTTCACTTCATTTGTCTAAATGTGTAAATGAAATCTAGCAGTTATCTGACAGTGAAACATTTAATAGACGGACAAAAAATGTTGAATTTGTTAGATAGAATGTGGCTGCTACCTCCAAACTAGTGACAAGTGAATTTGCCTGCATTTTCACCTGTACAGCCACCAATTACCTGAATACGTAGTTTTGTTTGACTTAGCACCAAACAGCAAAAATACGTAGTATTCTCACTCATACAATCATTTCTTGTCAACGGGTCGGGCCCAATTACAATTACACGTGTATTGCGTGGAATAAGTATGCAGTCAAGCATAGGAGTAGAACCCACACTCTTCTTGCTGATGAGTGCACACGCTAACTATTTTGCTACAGGTACTTCAGAATATACGGCACAAACTATCACGTGATGTATCGGCGCACCTTATATAAAATGCAGTCTAAACGCCATTGTTCTTTGGCAAAACTCAAACCGACCTTTTGCAGAGTGATTCTGTTGATAAGAAGTAATTTAATAATAATCAAGCGCAGGAGTATATAAACAAACAAACAAATAAATAAATTAATAAATAAATAAATTATTATGCATTTCGAGTAACATGATTAGCAGTATTAGATGGGAAGCATGAACTGGGAACAGTAATGTGTGACCGTTCACTGTACGAGTATGTCAAGTGTAAATATGGTAAGATTGATTTAATATGATTGGATTTGTGATCATATAACATATTCGTCTATTTTAAGCATCTGTTTAAGGATTGCGCATTAAATAACATTACTACATGCCAGTGACGTGATAATGCACGTCGATTGTATTCTCTGGGTTGTCAGTGCAGTTTTGTAGTTCTGAACATAAACAGCTTTCTGTCCCAATAGCCATGCCCTAGCAGCTGACACGAAACATGCGTACACACGCATTGTCAGTTTGATGAAAAAATATCAAATTATCAACTATAAATAAATAATGTCTTAAAATTCAGTTTTGGTCTACATTTTGGATTATTAAAGTTTTTTGTAGATCGATGTACCGTAAACGCCCCATTTTTCAGAGGCTTAGACGGCTGACTTGTTTCGACCTCTCACCTGTATTTATATTTGTATTGAAGCATGACATCAAATAAATATATCCTTGACCGCTAATGATAATCTAGACACTATTCCCAAACATTAGAAAACTGATAATATCACTAATTAAGCACTGGGATGAAAATTGCAGGTTTGTTGACATGCTACTACAACTGATAATAAAACCTGCCATTGACTATTTGTCATTTTTAAAAGAATGTGTGTCTTTGATAATTTGATTATTAAAAATACATACTCTGTAAGGCGTAAAGTTCAGATTCTTCAAGATCGCAGTAATATTCTTCCAGATCACGACGACATTGCTCGGATAAATTCATCCGCGCTGTGCTGTGGTCCAAGTTACTCGGCCCGTTGTTCCGTACACATGGGAGGCGGGACACTGATTTCCAAACGTCTTCCACTAATGACAAGTGTTTAAAGTCATTGGAATCTACAGTCCCATGGATATCTGGATTGAGCGATTCAGAAATAGATAGTTTGGAGGTAAACGGTGCAGATCCCTTGCGGAGCTCGTGCGCTGATATATGGGAACTGTGGCTTGGAAGCAACAGCACCAATATTACCAGTGTGTACAGCAGCGACATGTTTTCTGAGATGAGGCTGAACGTAATCTTGGTTATCACAAATTCGTCATCTCTACGTCATTGGTCATATTTCACAAATGGTGTGTGCACATCATGAATAATTATTAAAGACAAGTAACTAATCCACAATATTTGAATTATCTTTCATTGCAATTTTGACATTATCACGATATTAACCAAGATATGCGCTACGAACAAATAAAATCTAAGGTATAGGTGAGATACAAAATTCCAAAACAAATTCTAACATTTTGTATATTGATATTAAAGTTATCTTCAGGTCAAATAGATTGTTTACTGATAACCATCCACACTTTATCAATTAAGTTCAAAGACACAGAGTAAATAAACAGCCAAACCAACCTCATCAGGTCATCGTGTAAATCATTGAACTATCTACATCGTACTTTTGTTAATCAAAACATTGGTACGCTATGACTGCCATTAGTACGTGATAAATATGAGCGTAGGACCACGTTTATATTATAAATATGAGCGAAGGATCACGTTTATATTAGTATTTATCACGTAATCATGGTCCATCACTCATATTCATAATATAAACGTGGTCCTTCGGTCATATTTATCACGTACTAATGGTCTTTCGCTCATATTTATAATATAAACGTGGTCCTTCGCTTATATTTATCACGTAATCGTGGTCCTTCGCTCATATTTATAATATGAACGTGGTCCTTCGCTCATATTTGTCACGTAAGCATGGTTCTTCGCCCATATTTATAATATAAACGTGGCCCTTCGCTCATATTTATAGTATAAACGTGGTCCTTCGCTTATATTTATCACGTAATCGTGGTCCTTCGCTCATATTTATAAGTCCTTCGCTCATATTCATCACGTAACTATGGTCCGTCGCCCATATTTATAATATAAACGTGGTCCTTCGCTCATATTTATAATATAAACGTAGTCTTTCGCTCATATTTATCACGTAACCATGGTCCTTCGCCCATATTTATAATATAAACGTGGACCTTCGCTCATATTTATCACGTACTCATGGTCCTTCGCTCATATTTATAATATAAACGTGGTCCTTCGCTTATATTTATCACGTAATCATGGTCTTTCGCTCATATTTATAAGTCCTTCGATCATATTCATCATGTAACCATGGTCCTTCGCCCATATTTATAATATAAACGTGGACCTTCGCTCATATTTATCACGTACTCATGGTCCTTCGCTCATATTTATAATATAAACGTGGTCCTTCGCTCATATTTATCACGTAACCATGGTCCGTCGCCCATATTTATAATATAAACGTGGTCCTTCGTTTATATTTATCACGTAATCATGGTCCATCGCTCTTATTTATAATACAAACGTGGTCCTTCGCTCATATTTATAATATAAACGTGGTCCTTCGCTCATATTTATAATATAAACGTGGTCCTTCGCTTATATTTATCACGTAATCATGGTCTTTCGCTCATATTTATAAGTCCTTCGATCATATTCATCATGTAACCATGGTCCGTCGCTCATATTTATAATGTAAACGAGGTCCTTCGTTCATATTTATAATATAAACGTGGTCGTTCGCTCATATTTATCACGTAACCATGGTCCTTTGCCCATATTTATAATATAAACGTGGTCCTTCGCTCATATTTATAATATAAACGTGGTCCTTCGCTCATATTTATAATATGAACGTGGTACTTCGCTCATATTTATCACGTAATCATGGTCCCTCGCTCATATTTATCACGTACTCATGGTCCTTCGCTCATATTTATAATATAAACGTGGTCATTCGTTCATATTTATAATATAAACGTGGTCTTTCGCTCATATTATAACATACTCATGGCCCATCGCTCATATTTATAATGTAAACGTGTTCCTTCGCCCATATTTATAATATAAACGTGGTCCTTCGCTCATATTCATAATGTAAACGTGGTACTTCGCTCATATTTATCACGTAATCATGGTCATTTGCTCATATTTATCACGTACTCATGGTCCTTCGCTCATACTTATAACGTACTCATGGTCCTTCGCTCATATTTATAATATAAACGTGGTCCTTCGCTCATATTCATAATATAAACGCTGTCCTTTGCTCATATTTATACTATAAACGTGGTTCTTCGTTCATATTTATAATATAAACGTGGTCCTTCGTTCATATTTATAATATAAACGTGGTCTTTCGCTCATATTATAACATACTCATGGCCCATCGCTCATATTTATAATGTAAACGTGTTCCTTCGCCCATATTTATAATATAAACGTGGTCCTTCGCTCATATTCATAATATAAACGTGGTACTTCGCTCATATTTATCACGTAATCATGGTCATTCTCTCATATTTATCACGTACTCATGGTCCTTCGCTCATACTTATAACGTACTCATGGTCCTTCGCTCATATTTATAATATAAACGTGGTCCTTCGCTCATATTTACAATATAAACGTGGTCCTTCGCTCATATTTATAAAATAATCGTGGTCCTTCGCTCATATTTATCATGTAATGTATTTATCAAGGTATTTTTGTAATTTAATCGCTACTGCATCATTTGTGAACAAATGCAACGTATAACAACGTAATTTGTATCAGCGTTTTATAGTCATTACACCCGTTTAAGTCCTTCAGTGAGGTCCTTCTGTCTTTCGCGGTCCTTCGTTTTAGTGAGTACCTCTTTTGGTAGTAAGGTCATCGATTTGCTATATTTAGAACTGGCTTTTGATTAGAAAATCGTTTCATGACTGTTTTGTAATTCATATTAGGTCATGCCGTATTTTTGTCGCATGCGTAGAGAATATATAAAAAGAACTCGCTCTGTCATAATATTCGCAAAGCAGATTTCATGACATGTACACGCTCAAAGTTACTCGAATGAGCATTTTAAAATGTGTGGTAATCGGTGATGGCGCTGTGGGCAAAACGTGTATGCTGATGAGTTATGCCACAAACAGATTTCCCGCAGATCATGTGCCGACAGTTTTCGACAATTATGCAGGTACTTTGGAATGTATATTACTTTTAACAAGCTTAAATTATTAGAATGATATGCACTTTATATTTTAGTTGTGCATACACATAACCACGGTTGATACGGAAACGACTACATCGATACTGTTCAAACACAAGACTGCTCACATAATTTTGACGTAATACGCCAACTTATGTTTTTATTTTTAATTTGAGGCGTACAATCAAGTTTTTTATGTTTTCGTTGATATTTTGCAGTGAATTTGACAATAGGTGGAGACACGTATGATGTGCTAGGATTGTTTGACACGGCGGGACACGTAAGTGAATCTTCCCTTTCCCTTCCTGACTTTCTTCAAAATGTTGAGAATATAATTCTAAACGTTACATTTCAAGTTCATTACTGCCTGCAGTTTACACTTTCTGCGGTAATCACCGATTAACGTATCGGAAGCAATAACGGTTACACGGGCAACTAACTGTGACTTTGAATAGTAGTAGACATTTCCCGACCTATTTTGGCGGTGCGATTACATACCTACGAGTTAACTCAAGAGGCAAATAATTCGACGCGTTACCTTATGAATTGCCTCATGTAAAATTAACAATATATAGTAATGTAACACGTGTTCTCTTGTAGTCAATTATTCATTCATTCATTCATTCATCATTCATTCATCATTCATTCATTTCTGATTTTTATTCTTCGAGTATAGAAAAATATAACAATGACTAATTACAATGTCAAAGTCTCAAATTCCGATTGCAGTATCAAACATGTATCAATGTTCACTTATAAAATATTATGAGTGTATGTCACAATGCAAGTCAATGCATACATGTGACGATATAATACATACGAATTATAAAACTATTTGTTACATTATATTCAATAAAAAGCTTATTTGTAAAAATCACAATAATATAAAAAACGTTAAATACGAGTATGATGTAACGATATTATTAACAGCAGATTGTCTCTCTTGTTTTCTCAGCCAGTATCCAGTACATCTGGGAAGCGTAGTATCTCTCCATCTAATATTGCCACAGCACCATTTATGCACCATTGGAATTCGAAGACATCCAGTGACAGTAATCGTATTCTCTCTTAATTATGTGTTTTAGGCGAGTAGTGAAACATTTTGCTGCACAGACATCTGAATCATCGTTAATTTTCTTGCATCTTGTAATGTGAATTGCAGTTTTTACTGAGACACAAAGGTAACACAGAATACGGTGCGTTTGTGTTATTGCTTGACGTCTTGGCGGACCCAGAACATCGTAAGAGATTGGTACACTGTCTACATTGAGTAATGTACAAATAACAGATTTGAAAATGACAAAGAGTTGATTTAGTCGGCTACATTCAAGAAAAATATGGAGCAAATCATCCTTTTCTTCACAGAAACGACAAGTGCTGGTTTCTTGGATAGGGGCATTTTGCAAAAAGCTACCAGTGGGATAGGCGCCATGTAGTAACCGCCACTGTAAGTCGCCATCTTTAATTTGTTATTGGTTTCAAGTAACAGTCGCGAAAAAGAGGCTGATGTTCCTTTTCCAACGAGAGAATATCTGTCCATACGTTGCAAAAATATGTAGTGTGCTTTGAAAAATAAAGTTTAGGAATGAGAAATTTATAGATAACTCCTTTCTCTTTTTGCAACTTAAAAAGTGGACAATTTAAAAGTATGTCATTGTCTTCATCCTCGTACAATAATTCGAGTGAATAATTCGAGTTGGTGACTTGTGTAGTGTTGTCACTGCAATTTTCAATAATTTCTTTAAATTGACGTGGGATAGCTCTGTGCACCACATCAAGTACAACATTCAAAAGCCTTCTAGAACATATCGGCACTTTGTTATACAAGATGTCACGTCCCAGCCACGAAGTCTCAGTGACAAGATCTCCAATTGTCGTAATGCCCGCATCACGAAAATGTGTGAGGGTGAGTGGCACACCATGCAACGGGTGCAGAATCCGACTGTTGTACAAGAGCGGTTCTCGACAAACAGAGAAATAGGTGGTCGGTTGCCCTTTTCTAATATTTGAGATGGAGGACCAAACTTTCATAAGCTCACAACAGTACACTGTAATATTATGAAACGAAAGTGGTACATTTGTAACAAACAACAGCTTGTCATATTTCAAATTATTAAAACGTTTAAGAAAGTAACTGGTGAAATAAAAACTAGGATGCTTCAAATTAGAGTAAAAATACCGTTGAATGTATTGCAAACGAAACGAGGCAATTCTTGATGGTAAATGAACTAAGCCTTGATCACCCTGTGAAAGCGGTAGATAAATAGACTCTGCAGGGAGCCAATGGCGACCCTGCCAAAAGAAATCAACAAAGAGTTTCTGAATATGATTAATTAGAGTTCTGGGAGGACATAAACAAATCCTAGCCTATGTAGCAATTTGGACACTATCAACTGATTAACAACCAATGTCCGTCCTCTGTAAGAAATAGAGGGCGCATACCTAGTCCACGATTCAAGCTTGGACTGTATTTTGTCACTAACATCAGTCCAATTGTTATCAAGCCACATAGATGTATTCCCAAGAAATGTGCCAAGAACTTTAAGACCCACGTTGTTCCAGTTGATATTCAAGGGCATATCAGTTATTGTTTTCCATTGTCCCACCCATAATCCCTGGGACATTGCGTAGTTGATCCGTGAATTGCTGGCTTGTTCATATATGGTCAACCATTCTTGCAATCTATAGAAATCGGTGTTATTTGTTAAAAAGAAACTGACGTCATCAGCATACGCAGTGAGATGGGTTTTCTTCCTCGTTGAATCACATACTTGAATACCCTGCATACCACTCTCAGTTCGTACTTTGTGTAGCAACGGCTCAATACAAATAGAATACAGCTGACCAGAGAGTGAACAGCCTTGACGTATGCCGCGGGCGAATTGCAGAGGGGCAGTAAGATTGCTGTTCACTCGAACAAGAGATTGGGTTCCTGAGTACAAAAGTTTGATATATTTAGTGAAATTATCACCAAATCCAAATGCTTTGAGAGTGTTAATCAGATAATCGTGGTGTACACTGTCAAACGCTTTTTCTAGATCTAAAGATACGATACCAAGAGCTGTGTTGTTATCATTTGCATACGTGATGACGTCACGTACCAAGTTAATGTTGTCAAATATCTGTCGACCAGGTATACAGTAACTCTGATCAATGTGAATTATGTTACTGAGTACTGCCTTGAGTCTGAAGGACAGAGCCTTGGTCAATATCTTATAATCAGAGCATAATAGACTGACTGGACGCACATTCTTTAACAAATTATTATTTCCATTTTTAGGTAGCAGAGTGATGACAGCTCGTCTGCACGAAAGCCGGAGCTCTCCATCCTTGATCGAGGCTAGAAAGACTTCATGTAGGTCAGAACCCAAGGTTGGCCAAAAATGTTTGTAAAATTCGCCAGGAAGGCCATCGATACCTGGAGATGTACCTGAAGAAATTGATTTTACAGACGCAGTAAGCTCTTCAAAACTTAGATCCATGTCGCACTTCTCTTTTAAATCATCATCAAGTTGAGGAAGATTAGAAAGTAATTTGTGTTGACAATCCATAGACACAGGGTCCGGTGAAAACAAGTGAGAGTAAAAATCTCTAGTTAGTTGTTGCATCTCATGTGGTGCATCAACGATTGTACCATCATGCCTTTGTAGTTGCGACATCGATTTTTTTACTGCCCCTCTGTTTTTCAAAGTTAAAAAAGAGCGAAGTTGGAGCATCATTTCCATTAAGTACTTTGTGCCTGGAGCGTATCGCTGCCCCCCTTGTTTCGGACTGTACTAAATTTTCAAGTAGAGCTTTCTTTTCATTGAGCTGGTTGACGAGATCAGGATTGGATTGCATTTGCTGTTCAATGTTGTTGATGTCATGTTGTAATACATTTTTAGTTTGTTTATAATTATTACTTAACTTGAAAGTGTACTGTTTAGTGAGATCTTTAATCTTCAGTTTTCCAATATCCCACCACAGCTGGATGTTATTGAAATGCGACTTCTTTTTACGCCATGTGAGCCAGTAATCATTAATTGTTTCACAGAAAACTTGATCGTCAAGAAGACTAGAATTAAAACACCATACAGGGTTATGATTTCTTATAGACTTTATTGAAAGACAAAGTGTAACAAGGCAATGATCGGAGAAATTATAATGTGGACAGATAGAACTACTTTTAATTCTAGACACAATAGATTTGGATACATAGAATGTGTCTATACGGGATTTGCATTCATTTCTTCTCCAAGTAAACTGTTTGGCTAATGTGTTGCACTGACGCCATGCATCAACAAGTTTAAACCGACGTAAAATATTGGAGAGGAAGTTTGCAGATAAAAAGTGTGGTTCAGGGCTTTCAGCTCTATCATTCTCAGGGCATAGGGTACAATTGAAGTCGCCCCCAATGACAAGTGGGTCGTTATTTAAGCTGTTCAAAAACGTTTTTAAAGCTTTAAAGAATTCAAGACGTTCAAACCCGTTTGTCGGAGCATACACTGTTAATTAAATGCACCGGAACGCTATCAACCATGGCATGTATGTGCAAAAAACGCCCAGGAACAACATTATTTAGATTTAAAATTTTAACATTTTTATTTGGTTTAAAAAGTATGGCAACACCAGCAGAACGTAAACTTTCATGTGAAAAATACATAGGTGCTTTCCATACCACTCGCCACCTTACTTCATCAGAAGGTACGGAATGCGTTTACTGGAGGAAACAAAAATCAGTGAAGTGGTTTTGTTTAATAAATTCAAACACTTGATATCTCTTGAAAGAATCACGACAACCATGTAAATTCCAAGTAATTCCTGAGAAGCTCGCCATGAGTAAGGATACAAGAAACAGAACAAGTGCATAGAGAAAAACATAGGCGCAACTATTTGATTTATTAATAACTTTATTCATTATTAGTGGTTAGTAGTTTAATTCAACTTAGGTATTTTACTACCAGCAGTAGTGCAAATACCTCGTTTTGCGTCTAATAATTTATCGCTGCGTTTGTTCGTAATTCTGGGCATTCTAGAGATGCCGATACTTGACGCGATTCTACAAGTCAAACGCCTGATGCGAATTTTTTCCTTTGGAGGGAAGTCATTATTTTTCCGGAAATGACTTAGAGAGCGTACAAGTACGCGCAGGTCCGGACAAAAACTATTGGTTAGAGCGATCAGATGTTTAGAAGTATAAGAGTCATCCACGAATTTTTGTATTTTATCATGCGCCAGAAGAGACTTTGATGTTTCGCTTGAATCTTCGTCCTGTAGTAGGCTAGACATATCCGAAACGTCCGGTGCAACTGACTCGAGATCCTCCATATAATCAAATGGAAAAGTAGGATGTTGATGCTTTGAGTCAAACGGATCGATGACCGAAGCATCGACGGAAGAAGAGGATGCCCCGGGAAGCGTAGTTGTTGAGGGATGGGTTCGTACCATCTCCTCATCGTTATTTGGTGAACGACCTGTTATTGTAGTTATTTCAGTGCTGACAATCTCATTAACATTACAAAGACCTGTACGCGTGGCATCAAGTTGAATAGCATCTGTGCTAGGTTCAATCGAAGTTGAGTCGTCATCACACACGCCAGTCACATCAGTTTCCATATTATTTTGATCAACATTATCAGTTATTAACATACTATCTGTTTCAACATCATTTTCAGTTGCGTTTTCATTATTTTCAGTAGTCTCAGTTATTGGGTCATTAACAGCAGTGATAGTCATAATGTCAGTTGTAGGAGTATGTGTAGATGTGTCAAGTGTGTTCTCTGCTTGAGCCGTTTCAACGTTTTCACGGCAATTACGCTGGATATGCCCTT